CAGTGGGTACACCCATGAACTGTTGAAATACAGACCTGTGTTCGAATCCAGCTGATGGAACTTGACAATTGAAACCAACTACTAATAAATTGCTTAAAAAAAAAAAAAAAAAAAAAGGACAATAGCTCAGTTGGTAAGGCATGCAAGTGGCATTCAGGAGGTCTTGGGTTCAATCCCCATTGGCCTCATGTACCTTCCTGGGCATGCTTGGCGCCCGCCACCTAGAGATAGTGCGTTGGTCCCCCCAATTGGCATTATGTTCATAGGGGGAGGGGTAATCGGGGAGGCACAGCGACTGGCCACTCAGATGATGCTCGGTCCCTCTGCCACCGGCTGTCCCCTGGCCGGTGTTCCCCGTTGGGGGTTCCCTGAAGGCAATCAAGGCCACCCTGGGCTGAAAAAGCCACCCGATGTCAGATTAGACACAATATTGAATTTACCTGGGCTGGTTAGTCCGATGATAATACCTCAAGGCCATCGCCCTTTTAAAAAACAAAACAAAAACAAAACAAAAAAAAGGACAAGAACAGAGGCCGAAGCACTACACGAACATTCAAGGCCCGGGGAAGCGCGGCGGTTGGCATCGAAGACGCTCTAAGTACGTGCGACCGGCGGTAGTAGCCGGTTCAGCTGACCTAGACGCCCTCACCACTTAGGTCGTAGAGGGGTGACCTGGATTCCACCCTCGGTATTCCCGAGGAAACCATCCAAGCGGTGGCGAATTTCCAAGTCCATAGCCGATCTCGAATGTAACGTCACCAAGTAAGAATACACAACATAGTGAAGGTTGCAAAGGGTGTGCGTTGGATAGGCGCCCACCATTGATGCGTTCATGTGGAGGAAACGATCAACTAGGAAGAGAAGAAGTGGCGGACAGCCAAGGAGAAAAATGCACATCAAGGAGGCAGCGAAGGGAGACTAGGCAAATCACCACCAAGAGAAAGTGATGTACAACTCTCAGAAGAAACAAGAGTGCGGACGCTGCTGGCCAAGTGCTTCGAGGATGGTATCCAACCGGAGAGACTTAACCATGGGGAGTTCGTGGTGGAGAACGGAATACGAGTCTTTAAAGTAGACCGTAACATTGGGGAACTGACGACGAGCTGGCAAAAGGAGAGAGTAGTCACCATAATATTCCAAGGAGCATCCAGGGACCTGCCCCTGAAGGTGAGAGAAGATGTAGTACGAGCCTACAAAAACGGGTGGGTACGAACGGGGGTCTTCGATCGGACTCTACGAAGAGGAAGAATGCACGGAGAAGGGCCGAACGTTATGTCATACATTGCTATGACAAGGGAAGTGGCCCCATGGATGCGGATGAGAGTCGAGGACAAAGTGGTTATAAGAGGAGTCGAGTACCCCATGCTCTTCAAACCTTGGATGACGAGGAGAGAGTTAGAAGAACGGAGGAGGTTGGAAGATGAGACAAGATTTTGGGTCATGGCCTTGAGGGTACCGGTAAGGGGCAGATTTCATCTGGAGGATATGATATCGAAGGGGATGGGTGTTATCATCAGGCGCATCCGGCGGAACCAGACAAGACCAGACCGAAGTTAATGAACCTGAAATTTGACTTGGTAAGTGAAGGGGCCTGAAATTTAACTTGGTAAGTGAAGGGGAAGCGCGGTTTGAACCAGAAATGACAATGAGACTAGATGATGGGGAACTGATTACGATCAAGATGGTATCTAGACACACTCCTTGGTGTGAGAGGTGTAAATGGTGGTTTCATACCGCCACAAATGGTTGCCCAAGACTAGCCGAGCAGGAAGACATGGAGCAAGAGGGTGAGAGAGGAGGAGATATACCTAGTCAGAGAAGAGACCGCAGGGAGAACGTGCGGAATGAACGGGAGATATGTGAGGCAGCAAGGGACATACCTCGAGGCTCGTGCTGATTCAAGGAGAGCAGAATCTTCAGCGACTGGAGCTGAAAGAAGACAGTCACAGCAAGAGGTCAGTCAAGGTCAGAATCGAAGTTTCAATTATCAAAGACCCACAAGCAGGAATCAAGAAACGAGCCCACAACAACAAACCTCACTGCATCAACATCAGCATCACCAGCATCAGTATCAGCACCAGCATGGCCTAGAAAGGCAATAGGACCAGGGGCCTTTGTACTACGATGTAAGGCCAAACATGCCGCACGCTTACTCACAATTGAATGCACACGCATGGCAACAACAACAAGTAGCGAACATTTGGCAGTACGTGGCCACGTGGCAAGCGATGGGAGGCACGGGGTACCCCCCATATGTGGGAATGGTCCCCCCTGCAGGCCAGTATGGTGCGGCAATGATGGAAATGCCCCAACCGAACATGCAGCAAAATTTCCAGCAGGAAACATCAAGCGGGACACATGCTCCAGTAAGGACAGGTAGACAGGAGACCGGGTTTGAAGAACAAGGCCAAGAACGGTCCCAGAGGGATAGACAGGGAAACGAGGAGGAAGGGGAGGACGAAGAATATCTTTCACGAGCAGTAGCCGTGGTGAGGGAACAAGTGATAGACGAGAATACGGATGTAGACGCAAGAAGACACTTGGGGAAAAGAAAAGTGAGAGGGGATGGAATCGGAGGGGGTCAAACACCACTAGTACCTCAGATCGACGGGGTAGATCTGGCGGAGGAAGAGCTACGGTACAGGGACATACCAAGTGGAGTAGAAACATTGGCAGAAGGGGAGGAAGGCACGGAGCAATTTCTTCTACCATTTGTCTGCGCCTTACATGCGCAAGACGTGTTTGTTCTGGGACTAAAAAAGCAAGACAACATGATGGTCCTACCGGCGATACCGTTGGCAGGCCTTGGATCAGCAGATCTGATCACCTCGGCAGTTAGTCGCCTGTATAGCGATAGGTTCGCCTTTCAGATTTTTCCGGAAGATATGATGCCAAAGCTGGTAGTGAATAGCACAGGTGGAAGAAGGCTCAGATTCTCCATACCGTTAATTGACGCCAGGATCCCGACAAAAGTTTGGCACGAGATAGAAAATGTGGGAATGGACTGTCTGTTGTTGAACAATTTTACAGCGGGAGACAGTTCGATTCTGGACTTTGTGGTAGTGCAGTCGGGAATTCCAGCAGCCTTCCTCCGCAATCTAAACGAGAAGCTACCAGCAAGAAGGAACTTGAATTCGGTATACTTGGCGAAATGTCTGATAAAAAGGTGGTTGGAGCAGGCACAACAGAGTCAGGGAGAAGATGGGCACATCCAACAGAGTGCTAACAGTGGAAGAGTGAATGGTTAAGATAAGATGTGTGAGCTGGAATGTGCAAGGGCTGAGGGATTGCAATGGAAAGGGAAAATGCTTCATCTTCAAAACGTGGATGCGTGAAAATCGCACGGACATTGCCTGCGTTCAAGAGATAAAGTTATCTGAGAAGAAACTGAGGGAACTTAAAGACTGGTGGAGGGGCCCTCAAATCTGGTCACCAGCGAGAGGGTCGAAAGGGGGAGTGGCTATTCTGATCCACAAACGAGTAGAAGCTAAATTAATAGACTATGACTCAGACCTTTGGGGGAGATGGTGTTGGGTGAAGTTAGAGATAAGACAGGAGGAGTGGACCTTTGTGTCTATCTACGCACCGAATGAACCGCTAGAGCCTAGAGACGCTTGAGTTCTTCGAAACTCTGCCTCTACGCCTCCCGAAGGAGGAAAGATCGGTTATAGCCTTATAGGAGGCGATTGGAATCAAGTGAGATGTCAAGGGGTAGATTCTGAGAGAGAAGAGGGGATGAAACGGGATCGAGCCTACCTGCTTAAATAGGAGTGCGCGTGGGGACTGAGAGATGTTTTCAGAGAGAGGCATCCGAAATACGGGGGGGGGTACCTGGTTCAGGGGGTTTACCTGGTTCGGAAATACCAAAACGGCAGCCGGAGTGAGGAGGAGGTTGGACTATTTTCTAGTCTAAAAAATATCCGCCACCCAAACAGACAGGGTAAACGTGGAAAACACCCCTGTATCAGATCACAAGGTGGTGCTGATGGAGAACTCGATAGGCGAAAAGATGAGCAAAGGTCTGGGGCTGTTTAAGCTAAATAAAGCAAACTTGAAAGATGAGGGTTAGATCAAGTAGGTAGAAGCCTTCTGGAAAGACTAGCGGGAGTCACTCCAACACTTTGACTCAAAAGCAGAATGGACCGACGCAGGGCTACGAATCATCTCACACAAGTTCGACGTTTTCTCGGTCATAGCAGCCTATGAAAGGAACAAAGAAGAATACAGACTCCGGGCAAGAGTGGATGAAGCAGAAAAAAAAATGAAGCTTCATCCGATTTCAGAACAGGTATGGGCGGAGGAAAGGCAACTTAAGTTGAAGGAGTGGGAGGAACACGAGATGAAGAAGGATCGAAGATGGAAGCAAATTTTAGGAGATAAAGGGGTGATTATTTCAGACAGACTTACTAAAGACACCTTTCAGAAGCTGCCACCACGAAGGAAACAGACAATCATGTTCGAACTCAATCACCCTCACCTCCCGGCGATGCCGACTGCGAAATCGGCGGAGGAGATGTCCAAGTATGTAAAACTGTATTTTAAAGACATACTTACTTCTCGCAGACCGCAGGAAGGAATGAACACAGACCTATCATTGGTCTTCGACATATGGGATAACCTGCAAGCCACTCTGAGCGAGCACCAGAGAATTAATATGGACCGCCCAATCTCGGAAGAAGAACTACAACAAATATTGAAGGACATGACAAGTGGGAAGGCACCAGGAGATGACAGGCTACCGGTGGAGTTCTTCAGGGCATGCTGCGAAACGCTCAAAGATGATTTAGTTGAAATCTACAACGACATACTGATCGGAAGTAGACTAGGGAAGACAATGACGAGAGAAATTATAACGCTACTATTCAAAAAATGGGACAAAACCGAAGTGAAAAACTGACGTCCTACATCCTTATTGAATATAGTATACAAGTTGTTAGCTAAGACGTTGGCGAAAATGGTAGGACCGATCCTACCCACAATTGTAGGTAGAGAACAAGGCACCTTTGTACGGGAACGATCAATCTTTGAGAACATCCTAACAGCAATAGAGGCTCTAGAGGTAATAGGAAACGAAGATGAAGATGTGATGGTTCTGATGCTAGACTTAGAGAAGGTGTACGATAGAGTCAATTGGGCCTTTGTGATGACCTCACTGAAGGGAATGAGTTTTGGACAAAACTACTGCAGCTGGATGAAAGTACTGTATGCTTTCTCCACAGCTGCAGTAATGGTCAATGGGAAAGTCCCGGAAGAGTTTCCACTCACCCGTTCTCTGAGACAGGGCTGCCCTTTGGCACCCTTACTTTTTGTAATACAGATGGCGGTCTTCATAAATAACATAAGAAGGAACACTACCATAAAAGACCTAAAGATCTCAGAGGAAAAAGAGTGCAAAGTCAAAGTTTTTGCGGACGATCTCTTTGCCATATCAGCAAATGAGTCCCAATCCCTTGAAGCCTTAAAACGTTGTTTGGACACATACGCCGAATTGTCATAAGCAACGGTTAACTGGAATAAATCGGTTTTTTTTCTTCCGGGTCACAGACAACCTCAGGTGAACTGGGGGACGAGAAGGATTCAAACAGGACAGGCATAACGCTTTCTCGGGGTACAAGTGGCATTGGAGGATTGCACAGAAACACAGGCAGAGATAATCCAGGACAAGGTACGAAGAGGATCAAGAGTTGGGGCAGCAAAGCACTTATCTCTCATAAGGAGGGCAGTGGTTCTAAACAACTCAACCTTTGCTCTCCTATGGTGTGTTGCAAGAGTGAAAAATTTGTCCGCGGAGCTGTTTGTTGTCGTCGATAAAGCACCTAGGAAGTTCCTATGGAAACCATATGACAGGCAGGGAGAAAACTACTTATCAAAAGTTGCCTAGGAGACAGTGTGCTTGGATAGATCGGATGGAAGATTGGGCATAACGGACCCAGAAACACAAAACAATGTTCTGCTATGCAAATGGCTAGAGAAGGTGATTGAAGCGGAAAGGGAGGAGGACTGACTTTTATTAGCAAAGAGGATCCTGTGCTTGGAGTGGGATTTAAAACGACCAGAAGATGTATGGACTGCAGTAATGTCAAACAACTTTTTAAATAAGAGAATAAAGTCAAGCTTCTGGAAAGAAGTGTTGAAGGCATGGAAACAAGGAAGGCCAAGAGTAGCAGCAGAACCAACTACCAAGCAACAAGTGCTGGCGCAACACCTCACAGCGAGAAAAAAGACAGAAAATTACGGTTACTCATGGATGAAACAGGGGGTGTCAAAGATGGAGGACCTATGGGACACAAACACAAATCAATGGAAGAGTGAAAAAAACTTAAAAAAGGTACTAGGACAACTTCCGTATCAGAAGGAATGAAGGGAAAAACTGATAAGGAGCATACCAGCCCACTTGAAACAACTGATTGGTTCTGAAGGAGTCAACCCACTAGGAACATGGCTAGCAACAGTAACAACCCCTCCGGAGCGGTTCTACAGGATCCAAGAATGGGAGGAGGAACCACCTTGGAAGTGCGTGCTAGAAGTATATGACAGGGAAGAAACATAGAGCTACAGGTTTACGAGCTTTGGAACAACTGAACAAATGGGGACAAATGAGCTGAGAGAATGCAGAGTTCGTGGCACACCGGACCCTCAGACAGGAGTATCAAGCCTCCAACTAGTAGCCAGGGGTGTAGAGGTGAGGAAGCGTCGGGTGGACCCGGAAGCATGGGGATGGGAAGTAGAGAGTAAAGTTGAAGTAGGAATAAATAAGATTAGTTACAACTTAGTCACCCGGCTGAAAGGTACAAAGAAGAAGGTACGGGAAAAATTGGAAAAGAGGTGGGCATGGATGTAGCCCAGTTAGGAACAACCAAGCGCTACAGAGTACAAGAGGCTATGGGAACAGCTAAAACTGATTCAATCGCAGAAACTGGCTTCGCTGCTCTGGCTACAGTCCCACATGGTGGTACCTACAACAATGTGGTTAAAGGAAAGAGGAATGAAGGAGATAAACACAGTCTGCGACATATGCAGTTGGTTCTATGAAGATGTGAGACATCTATGGTGGACTTGCCCAAGGTCAAGGAAATGGTGGGCGTGGTGGTTATTCCACTGGAAGGAAATCACAGGACGAAATGTATCAGAGCAGGAGAGGTGGGAATTGTCAGGCTTCCTGCCAGAAGAGTTGTCAATAAACGACGGTTGGGGTTATCTTAAACAAGTGGAGAGAGCAATATTGTTGGGAGTAATATGGAAAGATAAGAATGAACGTAGATTCAAGGAAAAACGGCTTTCTGAACAAGAAGCAAAACATATTTTTAAACAAGATCTGGCAAGGGAAATGAGGGCAGACTAGGAAAGGAAGACAAACAAGGGGAGGGCAACAAAGGGAGTGAGATGGTTTATGTTTACTTGGGCAAAAAGCAGCAAACTAGCCATATTCAATCAAGAGGGGCAGCTGAAACTAGGTGAATGGTTACTGCACCGCGACGGGATGAATAGGAGGAGACAAACCGCTCAGAGGTGAAGTAGGGAGGAACTCAGTAAACCGGGCAGGCTATAGAATAGATCAACAACGCCAACCAGGTCTCCTCGTTTTTTTCACGCCACAGTAGGCACATAGGGGATGGAGGGTGAAATAGTGGTACGGTACTTGGAACAGTTGTTCCAATCGGTCGATAAGTGGGCCGGTGTTACAACGAGATAGGTCTGTGAATATGATAAAACAGTATAGTTTAGGAAGACCTTCAATAGTTGTAGAGTCGGTAAGTAAGAGTAAAATAGTATGGGAAAGTCGTAAACAGGATTCCCGAGTCTATCTGAGGCTACAAAAACTTACTTAAATTGAGAGAAATCGTAAAAGACGGTGTCAAAACAGGTAGATTCAGCAGTTGGGAGTAGGAAGATAGAAGTAGGAGAGTGATTTATTCTTTCGAATCTTAACAGGGAAATTGGTTGAAATTTAAGCTGATCTGGCTTGTGCTGTCGGGATAACTCCGGGTTGAATTGTGAGAACCCTGGCCTCCCATTATGTTTTGGAATATAAAGGAATGCGTTTTGGTTGGAAAAAAAAAAAAAAAAACAGAGGCCTCACAATTCAACCCGGATTGCTGAAAAACAGGTCCAGCATCCCATCTTGGGTATCAAACTGGAAAGCAACCATCTTCCCCCGAGCACAATGCACGCTGAATATGACTTCATCCAACCGGAAAAATGACTTGTTTACATTCAGAATCAAGTTGCTTTATGTTCGGCGGACGACGGTAGGGGTCTCGCTGCACTACTCTCGAAATGCACAAAACGAGAGTGAATCTTCCGTTAGAATATGGAAAGATACACGGCCATGATTTTTGTTTTTTGTACATGTCGAGAGTAGTGCAGCGAGACCCTAGTTCTCCGCATGCAAATCTGATTCATCACCTTCCTTGTTAACAAAGTTGCGGGGGTGGTTCCACTACTCAGGGGACCAATGAAATCGCTACCTTCTTGCCCCGAATACAACGTACGGTCATTATAGTTGTATCTAGACTGAAAGATGCCTCAAATACAACTATAATGACTGTGAGCTGTATTTGGGGGAAGAAGGTAGCGGACCCTGGCCGTCAGTTCGTTTGCATCGACG